ATATATTTAGCATTAGGTTAACTAGATAAAGACCAATTACAAATAGTTATTTAGCATTAGGTTCTACAACTACACAAATTAAACGATATTAATGTTTTTGTTTGTATGCAAAAACTAATCAAAAGACGTAAGTACAATTCCTCAAAAATACTATTTCCTAAAAAGTTAGACAACTAAAAGACCATATTGTTCCAATACCTCCAATTCCAAATCATCCAAACAAATGTTAAGACGCACGTAACAGCAATCATGTAGTTTATTATTTTATATATTTTCAAAACTTTAGAATTTTTAAGATAATATACATAAAGTTTATTAGTTTTTTAAATTCTAACTAATCCACATAATGGCAGCCACAGCTTATTATTTTATATATTTTTTTGCGAAGCTCAATGTCAAACACTTTTACATGAATTCCAAACTTTCTGACCACATAAAAAATTAGAAAAAAAAAGTTGCTCAAAATTATTTGCAATTAGCCATGTTAAAAATGGTATATTAAATGCAAAAGTATGTATGGAATGCTAATTTGTATCTTAAATAATATACCTTCAAAACCAACATATAAAAGCTTAAGTTTTTAGTTTATAGTTACATAAAGGGTATATTAATAATTTATTGACAATGTTGTAAAAGTTGTTTGGTAAAACTAAGTTGGTCAATAAGAAACTAGAGATTAGAGATTAGTCGGTTTAGCGAGTGATTAATAGGGGTCTAGTTGTGAATCATAAAATGTAAAAGAGTTAATTTTTTAATAACTAAATATGAATAATATCATAACAATGTAAATAAATACGTCTAACATCATAACAAATAAGTTAACATGACTAAAAAAATATAAATGTTGTCTAATCGATGGTATTAATTTATTTTGTTACGATATTAGATCAAGATTAATTACTAAGTATTATGTAATCGATCGAGTACCATAATTAATGGAAATTTTTATAATACTGTTTATTGGCATCTAGTTCTACTAGTTCTTTATTTGGTAGCCATATATCTTATTTAGTTATATAATTATGTCATAAATAATTAGATATTAATAAATTGTATTCTCTAAAATAAGAATTCATTAAGAATAAGATTCTTACATTTTGCCTTCCTAAAAATGGAATTGAATCAACAAAATTAGTAACAAGCTAAAGAAGAAGGGGCAAAATTGCCAAAAACGATTAAATAAAGGGTGTGTTTTTTTTCACCGTCACGTGAAGAAAATTAAATTCTCCATTTTCTTCTTCCCTCCCTCCATCTCTATATAAACTCTCATCCTCCGATCACCAGATTCTCTCTTTGGCATCTTCTCAAACTCCAATCTGCGTTGCTTTTATCTCTTTAACCTCTCAAATCCACTCACAAATACACACGAAAGCCACACATATACATAGTATTCTGCGCATAAGTCTCAGAAGAAGCTGCTAAAAGAGTCATCGGAAATGGCGTCGCCGTCGAATGAGCAGATGAATCGAGAAGAGACGCCGACGGTTAAAGATATGATGCATAAAACGAAAATAATTCAGTTCTTTGGAAGAAGTACTCCGATTATACTTCAGAAGGACAATGGTCCATGTCCTCTTCTCGCTATCTGTAATCATCTAAAACTCTTTTACTCCTTTTTAGGGTTTATTAGTTTTGCCTAAGTGATTATTGAAATAGATTGGTTGAATGTTTGAATTACTTAATGATCGATGGTGATTTAATTAGTAGGGGCTTTGCACGGTGTCGTGACGTGTTTAGATTGGAATTAGCGTACGTTTTAAGAATCACTAGCAGCGATTACAAGTTTAAGTTAACTCGTTACTTTAAACAGTTGTTTTGTTGCTGATTACTTAATTGGTACACAATCGCCGTTCATTCAAAATTTAGGTCAAAATCTCAACATTATGTTAAGGTTTGGAGAGAAGTGATTATTGATTCAACTGTATTTAACTTCATACCTAATTTTTAGTTAATTTGGGTCTTCTCACAGAATTTCGAGGTTTTATTCAATGATATGATTGCAATCTGGTAATCAACTTGCTTGTATCATTATTAAGGATCGCATGATTTCAAAGTATAGTTCATAACTGTGACTAACTAGTTTCATGATTTGGAAAAAGTTGGAGCCAAAAACAGTTTATTTGATTGGGATTGTGTGCTTTTTATTAACCTGATGGATCATATAGATAAAACTACAATTTGATAATCAAAGTTTGCAATTTATGGTAGGTAACATTCTCTCATTGAGAAACAATTTAAGTCTGAGCCCAGATGTAGCTGAAGTATCACAGGAAAAATTGCTTTCACTTGTGGCTGAAAGATTAATTGATTCAAACAGTAATGTGAATGTAAGTGAAACCTCTTTTTTTATACACATATATTCTTTGCTGCTAAGATGAACAAGTAGAAAGGAGAGCATTCTTGTTCTGATTGATTTTGGTCCTTTTTAATTTGTTACAGAACAAAGATGAAGGGTATGTTGAAAATCAACAACAGAACATAGCCGATGCCATTGATTTACTCCCTCAACTTACAACTGGCATTGATGTGAACATCAAATTTACAAGGTATGCTTTTTCTTACTAGTTCATCTCTCTATATTTTCCCCTTCATAATTCCAGATTCACAACTTGCAAATCTTTGAACTTTTACAGAATCAATGATTTTGAGTTCACAAGGGAGTGTGCAATATTTGATCTGTTAGACATTCCACTTTATCATGGTTGGATTGTTGATCCACAGGTACATTCTGATTCTGCATTTAAATACACACATGCAATATGAATATGTTCAGCATGAAATATAATTTAAATATACAATATTGGTGTCAGGATTCTGATACTTCAAATGCCATTGGGTCAAAATCCTACAATACCCTGATGGGAGAACTGGTTGCTCTTGAAACTCAAAATATGACACGTGTTTCTTTAAAGAATCATGAACAAGATTCTGTTGAGAAAATAGAAAGAAGAGATCTTGAAGAGGAAAATGAACTATTAGCAGCTATGAAACTTTCAACAACTGATGATTTAATAACTTTTGAAGATGAAAAGGAAAGCCATGGTAAAGAAATGGATGCTTGTGTAACAGAGAAGCAAGAAAAGAAAGATGGGAGTGAGGAAAGTAGCTTAGAAGCAGGGGCAAAAACGGAAAACATTTCACTTAGTTTGTCTGGATCAGATCCTTCACCTCCTGTTGATACCCTTTTGCATGATTCAGAAGGAGATAAAAAGATTTCTGACCAATCAACTTCAAACACCAATGTAAATGAAGTAGAAAAAATCAAGATTGATGAAAAGATACCACATAATGTGGTTTTGGAATCATCAAAGGACATGTCACAAAATATTCTTGAATCTGAATCTTTAATTGGAGATAAATCAAACACTACAACAAATGAAAGGCTAGAGACTACTGCAAAACAAGGTATGCAAGTATTGATAAAAGTAAATTGATTTCATTTTTGAAAAGTTATAAAAGAAATTGCTTAAATTTTGTGGTGTTTTCATTTATAGGGGAAGTGATTAGGAGTTTTCTGAACAACAATGCGAGTCAGTTGACTATATATGGGTATATTTTGCTTAGTTTTTTTTGTAAATTTAAATTTATTTTTCTTTATAAAACAAGATGATGATTTATGTTGCTTACTAGGAGGACTTTCTTTTCTTTTGGTGTTGCAATACTTGCAGCCTTTTTTCCCTTCAAGATGGTTTAAAAGATCGGGAACTTTGTGTGTTTTTCAGAAATAACCACTTCAATACCATGTTCAAGGTTTGTTATTTTTTTTAATTTGGTAGATTAACAATTTCTATATATATATATATATATATATATATATATATATATATATATATATATATATATATATATATATATATATATATATATATTTTTTATTAATCTCAAGTTGTTTTCAGTTTGAAGGTGAACTATACATTTTAGCTACAGATCAAGGCTACTTAAATCAACCTGATTTGGTATGGGAAAAACTGAATGAGGTATATATAGTCTCTCCAAAAATTATATGTTTAGGGGGTAGAATGAATATTATTGAAGTAATGGGGAAAAATTTAACATACACTTTCAGGTGAATGGTGATACAGTGTTTGTTAATGATAACTTCAAGAAATTCAATCCACAAAATCAAGAAACAAGCACATGGGATGAGCAGAATGTGATGGCTAATACTGCTGTATTTTACTTCTTACTTCCCTTATTTTAAATTTTAATTAATTAATTAATTTATTTATTTTCCATAATTCTAATTTTTAAATTTTATATTCCAGGATTATCTCGCAAGAATTGACAATTCCGGACAAGGAAACGCTGGTCTGAGGTAATTAATTCAATTTCAAAGTACAATGCTATAATGTGTAATAATATATTATATAGAAAGTACAATGCTTATAATATTAATATATGTCATTTTATGACAGCTCTGATATGCAATTAGCCATTGCCCTTCAACAACAAGAATTCGAACAACAACAACAACAACAACAACAACAACAACAACCACAACGTGAACGTGTTTTGCCACAGTCACCTACCACTTCACGTTCGGGGCTTGTTGTGGGTCCCCAGGTAACCTACTTTCGTTTACTTTTATTTATTTATTTTCACTTTTAATCTTTTTTTTTTTTATCTGACAGCATGTGCATCCATCGAGGCCTAGGCAGGATCCAAAGCCTTCAAAGGACAAGGACAAGTGCACTGTGATGTGAGAAACTTGGGATAGATAGATACTATTTGGGCACACGTGTGATTTTTAAACTCAGCTCCCTTTTGATGTAAATGATGTAGGACTATTTGGTATATGAGACATGATGAGTGTTTGGGGTCTTGTACCATGTGCATAGAATGTTGTAAACACAGATTACCTTTAGACAATTCACTACTTATCAACACATGTTTTAGTCCTTTTAGCTTGTTTGTGTTCCATTTTGCTTACAAAAGTGAAGTCATCCAAGTTGCTACAAACTTCTCCATACTTTGCTTTCTTATTTTTCTTTAAATCATAACTACTTCACATATAATTTTTGGGTGGGTGATACAGGTCGATAAATGACTTCCTTAACAGTATCAAGGATGCTATTTCCAGTGAACCCATCTTCTGTAGCATAAAAGAGATTTAACACATTGCTTGTACTCCAAAATACATCCTTACATGCTCTTGGAACAACGCTTCCTTCTACTTGCACAACTAACTTCAGAAGTTGTCCCCTCTTGCTGTTAATCATCTTCTTCATCTCCTCTACAGCCTCTTGTTCATCACTCGTGTGCAATGTCACAGCATTCAGTTTTCCCGCCTCTAGTTCTCTCTATATCATTTGCTCATATAACCCCTTATTAGGATCAACATTTCTAACATAAATCCAACAAAGTGTAAAATATTATACATACCTTATAGCTTTGGATATCATTCAAAATACGTCCCTGAGTACTCATTAGCTTAAACAAGTTATAATATTCAGAGCTCTCAACAACATCCTTTGACAGTTTTGGCCCAACAAAGTAAAGAGCTGGAAGTACAATCGGACCTAATGCAACTGATACATAACCATTTTCCATATATTCATTCATTGTAGGAACCGATTTATCTCTCGACCATATTGCTTCCCTCAACATACTTTGCATCAAATTCAACCACTATCAAAAAATGAGACAGATGTAATTAACTACTATAAATGTCAAAACAAATAATCAAATGTATAGGGGAATTGAAGGATTGCATTTTACAGTTTCAATAACATGATTTGTTACGCTTCTATTTTGGCGTTTATAAGCTTCTTCTCCAATCCATATCACCGCATCCTTAAGTGCTAAAAATATAATGCGGACCTCATTCGAACAACAATCGTTGTCAACATTTACATGCCATCTGAAGTCGATAATAACAAGTTTAGAACTTGAATTAAGAGCATGTTACAAATATGAATAATATGCATGCATGGTTGAGGGATTATATAAGGATAATATACTTTTCAACACACTGAATGAGGTTCACCAACTCATCCATGGAGCCTCCAACATCAAAGAAGTCATCAATTACTCCGGTGAGGATGCTACTTTTGGTCCATGAAATACGAGCATCAGATAGCTCAGGGGTGGAAAGCGTTGAAGCAACAGAGAAGTAACAGTAAGCTGCTCTCTGTCTAACAAATTTGAGCTTGTCGAGTCTATTCTCTACCACCCACCTATAAATTAATTACTTGTTTATAATCTATCAATGGGGTCCACTTTGATATTAAAGTTGATATATTATGACATAATTAAAAGTTTATATATCGATCTGTGTTGATAGAAAATCTAACACCATGCACGTACCTTTCAAGACCTTCCAATTCTACACGATGAATAGATTGGCATGCGTTGAAATCTTCCACTGCCAACCTTATGTAATCCGTGTTGCTTATGTTTGATGAACTGACCGATTACAACAAGTATTGATCATTAAAAAAAATTAAAAAAAAAAAAAAAAGATTCTCATTACAATTTACATGTGGTTGACACCTCACCGAAATGTAGTTTTTAAAGTTCTTGTAGTGTCGACATTGTAATGCTCTATGTTTCTTCTAGTAGAGATGCGTTCGACACTGGCATTGAAGGGGAACCTAGGCGCTTCCTCCACCTGATTTAATTAATATAAGAAAAGAGAGATTCTTTTTGTTTTTTTGTTTTTTTTTTTGATGAAGTCAAAAGTCAATTTTATAATACCTCTGAAAAGTGAAAAGATTGAAGCATTTAATATTGTTTGGTCAAGGAAATCTTTCGCTTCCCCAAAAGCCAACTCTTCTTGATGCATAATCTGTGATGCGTTACACATTTGAACCGCTGCATACACGTCATCAAAAGGCTGTTTGGTAATTTCAGCCAATCGATCTACACCATGAAAACGACAAAAAAAAAAAAAAAAATTTAGTGGAAAGCTTACTTATATATAATTAATATATGTTCCTGTAGTAGTTAATTAGCAACTGGTGGTGGTGTTGTTATTTTAATTTCTTCCTATGAATAAATTTTCATAGTTCAAATACATGTCACAACGTGCCTTATGTTTTGTTGGATTTGTACACAATAATTTTTTTCCATATACAATAATTAATGCAAATATTGTACTATACCAGAGGAAACTTCATATCCATTAGTCCTTAATACTCGAAAGGCTAGAGCACAAGTGACAATATCCATGAATATTTGTTCATCTCCCTTCACCCAACATCTAATCATATGGAACATGTCATATTTCTAACCCAAGATATATATATATATATATATATATATATATATATATTCTGATTTAAAAAAAAAATGAACTTCTAAAAGATCACCTATATGTTTCATCTAAAACATTTTGGATTTCCACCCTGAAATGTCGTGAGATTCCCAGACTTTGAAGTTTGTCAACCATGCAAAGGCGTGCATATATATCAAAAGGATAAACTGTTGGGACTATGATCGATTCACCAATAAAATTTGTTAGCAAAATGTATGAGACATGCATAAGATATATATATATATATATATATATATATATATATATATATATATATATATATATATATATATATATATATATATATATATATATATATATATATATATATAAGATTGATGATAACATGAAATGACTACCTGCATTCCCAAACTTGCTGATAAGAGATCTTAGATAATTAAGGCATCCAGCATTTTGATGATGAATAAGAAGAGCTGCAGTTGCTGAAGGCGAGTTCAAAACAGATCCATTCTTCATCTGGTATTTCTTCACCATTTTCAAGTCATAGTAATTTCCAAGTCCTTCTGAAATGTATGCCAAATAAGCTTCCCTTCCCTGTGAATTACATCTTAAGATGATAACAAATAAAGATTCGTAAGAGTCTTCTTGATTAGTCATGTCATCATTTTCACAATGGGAGAAACATAGATATGGATATATAGTGCATATATACCTTGTGATCTCCAAATCTCTCTTGTATAGCATCACGCTCATCAAATCTTTTTGATGTAAAGAAAAGTGTATGTTCAAGTCCTTTGCATACTCAAACATACGAGGAAATATGATGTCAAAACCAAATGGAGAACGTTGATCATTCTTGTCAGTAGCTGAAGCAAAATTTGAGTCGATGAAACATAGACCTGACATAATATTGTTCGTTTATGCTGACAACATTAATTAACAGAATTGAAGAAAGCCAATATCCATCTACATACATACATACATACATACATACATACATACATACCTCTGTTAATTTGGTGTTCTCCAGCATTCCATCGTTTCAATGCAACAACACATGCTAAAGTTGAAGCAAGAGTATCTTTAGGTAATGAGGAATGGTGATGAAGAAGACCCCCTCCCCATGAACCATCGTTAAGCTGATTTTCCATCAACCAGTTGAGGCAATCAGGGAAACAAGGGGAATCAGGAGAGTTTGGAGAAGGGACCATAGCCACCCACGCTGTGTCATATGAAGAAACAGAAAGTTCCACATTGTTGAATAGTTTCCGAATTTTTTCTTTTGTCATATCAAAGGTCTGCATCATGTTTATAGTTAACAGTTTGATATTTTGAGGGATATTTATGATACAAAATGGAGCTAGCAAAACATACCACAACTGCAGGATTAGCTTCTTGTAAAGAAGAATCTTGATGATGATGCAAGGAGTACTGGGGTTGAAAAGGAAAACGATTGTTAAAGCAGGAGACTTGCATTGTGTATTTGTGTGTTTGTTAACTACAAAGAAAGAAGGATGAGTATTCAGTTAAGGCTTTAGGTCTGTGGAGCGGAGACATATGGATTGATGAACCATATATAGGGACAAGAAATAAATTTATCACAATTGATACTGACCTACAAAGACATTCCTATATGGAATAATGACTTGGTAAAATATTTTTTTTTTTTAATTTTTCTTATTTATTTATTTATTTATTTTTTCACATTTTCACATCGAACTATTAAAAACTTCCTTATGACCCGAAGTTTAGCCGGTTTTCGATGTATTTGATACCTCCGGCGAGCCTTCAGCGTTCATGATTTTTCCGGCGAAATCAAACTCTCTCTCTCTCTCTCTCTCTGCCCAACAAAGGGAAGTTTGCATAAAAATATTGGTTTTACCCGTGAATATGTTTTAGGTCCAGTAATATCAAATATTTTGTTTAATTTGTTCATTTATACCCTTTTAGCCCGTTTCAAGCTAACCTACTAGTTATCTAATGCTAATAAAGCCTTTGAGTTTTCAAAAATGCTCCAATTTACCCTTAAGTTATAAAAAATGTTTGGATTTATTCGTATTATTATTATTATTATTATTATTATTATTATTACTATTATTATTATATATGTTTAATACGGTTTTAAATGTATAAAAATATTTTATACGTATATTTTTAAATACGTTTTTAAATGTATAATAATATTTTTATAGATTTCAAAAATATATTTACTTGTATTTAATATTTAAAAATATATTTACTTTTATTTAGTATTTATATACATTTGAAAGCTAATGTACGCCTTTAAAAATGTATTTATATATTAAAAATATATTTATTTGTATATAGTAGGTATTAATATATATGCATTTCGTATAAAAATATAGTATATACATATAAATATAAAATATAAATTTATAAGGTTTATATTGAATAAGAGATATAATTATTTGTATTTGTACATATTACTAAGTATAAATATGTATTTAGTTCGTTTATATGAATTTTAACATATATATATATATATATATATATATATATATATATATATATATATATATATATATATATATATATATATATATATATAGAGAGAGAGAGAGAGAGAGAGAGAGAGAGAGAGAGAGCTAGGTTATAATGTGGATGAACAACTACTCTGCGGGTGTGTGGACAATGCTATTCTGTGAAAATAACAAAGAAAATATGTTGTTTGATAATGTGAATACATTCAATCTTGCATAACTATTGTCATTATTACACATTCTCACAAATTAAATCGTCTATATGGTTATTATAGACTTTTTTATTATTATTATTTATATTCTGTCAGAATTTTGTGAGGATGTTTATTGAGTCGTATTCTATAAGAATGAAGATGAGCGAAAAACGATCCATGAGAACAAAAATAAATAAAAATTAGTGAGAATGAATGTAAATGACAATAATTATGTGAAGTTGAATATATTCACATTCTAAACAACTTATTCTGATAGTAATTCTCATAGAATATCACTATCCACACGTCCGCACAATAGATGTCCATCCACATTTGAACCTAGCTCTCTCTCTCTCTCTATATATATATATATATATATATATATATATATATATATATATATATATATATATATATATATATATATATATATATATATATATATATATATATATTTAAATTCTTTGGGTGACTCATCAACCAAAAAAAAAAATAACGTTTTTGGTGTTTGCTTACTATGTATAAATATGTTTTTATTTAATATTCATATGTATACGATAGTTTTTATAGAAAATAAATAAATATTTGTATATATTAAATACAATTTAATACAAATAAATATATCTATTAAATACAAATAAAAACATATTTATATATTTAAAAATCTTTTTATTTTTGTTTAACAAATATAAATATGTATTTATTTACATAAAAGCCATTGTATGCATATAAATATGAAATAAATACGTATTTATACTTAGTAATATATATATATATATATATATATATTTATATTTAAATATAATTATATCTTTTATACAATATAAACCTTATAAGTATGTATTTTTATATTTATATGTATACAATACATTTTTATATGAAGTAATTGTATATTTACGCCTACTAAATACAAATAAATGCATTTTTGATATATATATATATATATATATATATATATATATATATATATATATATATATATATATATATATATATATATATATATGTATATGTTCAAAGGAATACATAAGCTTTCAAATGTATATAAATACTAAATACAAGTATATATAGTTTTAAAAATATATTTATATTAATAAAAGTGTGTGTATAAAATATTTTTATACATTTAAAAATGTATTAAAAATATATAATAATAATAATAATAATGATAAATCCGAACATTTTTGATAACTTAAGGGTAAATCCGAACATTTTTGAAAATTCAAGAGCTTTACTCACATTTGGTAATCGGTAGGTTACCTGGAAACCGACTAAAATGGTATAAATGAATAAATAAAACAAAACAAAACAACTGACTTTATTTGACTTAAAACACGTCCAAGGGTAAAACCACCCAACAAAAGAGAATGCCAGCGCACACAGCTTCTTTGATTGTCTATGTGTATGACCGCATCCCTTTTTCTTTTCTTGTTGTGTCTTTGTGCGCTCTCTGATGAAAATAAGAACCAAATAAGAAGGGTACTCATCTTCTCTTTCAAATTCGATCTCCAAGCGTCTGAGGAACAAGAAGAATCGATCACATGCTTCTTTTCTTTCTTGTTGTCACTGCAATCAACACCCACCCTCTTCGATTTTGATTGCAGCCTCTTTCTCTTCCATTGTGTTGGCTCAAAGGATAATTTATCGACGAGCTTGTACATTGTGTTGCATAGTTTGTACTTTTTTGACTTTTAATCATCAGAGCAAAACAAAGGGAAAAAATCTAAAGTGAAGGACTCGTCGATGAAGTTTGATTGGAGGTTGTCGCAGATATCTTGAGACAGGATCTAGGTTTGTGGTGGTGAAGGTCTTGGTTTTAATGGTAGCTTGGAGGTTGAAGACGATGAACATTAAACGATTTTAATGGTGGCTTGGGTTGCTTAAATAAATAAACCCAGACAACAAAACTGAGTTGTTAATAAAGAGATGGGGGGGGGGGGAGGAAGAAGAGCTTGGTGGTGGTGGTGGCTGATGAAAATGACGATCAAGAAGTTGAGGTGTGTGTGTTTTTGTATTTTTTTATTTGAAAAAAAAGCTGGTGTGATGTGTGTGTTCTTGTGTTGTTAATTTGAAAAATTGAAACCTTATTTGTGTGTGTTACAACTTGTCGAAAAAATCATGTTGACCAGAGGCTCGTCGAAGAAGATGATCAGAGTATCACCGTAGATGCAAAGATCGCTGGAAACCTGCTAAACCCACACCAACCGGTTATAAGATTAAGATATAGGCAAAAAAAACAAGTTTAATGAGAAAATGTTGACAAAATTTTTTTCAATGACTAAGTGTGTACAGAACGAAAAATACATTACCCTTTTAAATCATTATCCCTCCCTATATAGGCAGGCACCTAATATAATTTCACATAAGACTTTATCTATTTCTTGTTTATTAATTAATATATTGCAAGTTTTTCTCCTGTTTCGTGGCCTAGCTGTTAGGGGAATAATAAAAACCAAAACCGAATAATCAAACCGAACCAATGATATTTGGTTTATTTGGTTCGGATTATTTGGTTTTCAGTTAATGCGATTTGGTTAACAGAATAATGATACATTATTCAGTGTGGTTTGGTTTAATTTTTATTGTTTTGGTTAAACTGAAAAAATCAAATAAACTAATTAACTAATATATATTTATAATTTATATCTATGAATTAACATTTTATATATAAATTTGTAGATTAGTTACTTAGATTTCATAACTTATTATTTAGTTATTAGCCGTCATAGATTTATAATTGTTTTATACTTTGTGTTGAAAACAAAAACAAAGTAACCAAATGCCAATTAACCTTAAGTTGTTTATTTCATCTTTACATACCACTAAATCTATAGTAATTTATCTCTTCAATGTGTGCATCGACTCTTCAAGACAAAACATCATGAAAGAGTGAATATAATATGTTATATATTAATGTATTTTCTTTATTTGTTAAAAATTTTAGTAATTTTTGTTTCTCTTAGTTTAATATTTATATTTACTTGCGGAATTTTATTCGGTTTAACTGATAAATTGAACCGAATAAACTGAAACCGATTAAATCGAACCTTATTTGATTTGGTTATGGTTAGATTTACAATATAAAAGAATGGATAAAACCAAACCGATTTAACCGAAAACTGAAAAACACCCCTACCAGCTGTTAGGTTTCGACGTATTTAAATAAAGTCTTGATTATGTGAAAAAAGGTTTCTAAAAATCATTCATGTTTATCTTCCTTTTTTTAGTTCCAAGGTATCTTTTAGTTTAAGGGAACAGTTGACAACAGACAAAACGTTTACAATTACATAGACAATCATTTACATGTTGATATATCATATTATAAAGGGATAATGACTTGAAAGGGTAACGAACTTTCGACTTTTGTCACATTTAATCACTAAACTTTTTTTCGTTATCCATTTGCCATTGAACTATTGAAACTGTTCACATTTTACCCTTATGACCGGCAACAGCCGGTCATAAGGGTAAAATGTGAACAGTTTCAATAGTTCAATGGCAAATAGATAACGAAAAAAAGTTTACTGACTAAATATGAACAAAATCGAAAGTTCGTTTCTCTCTAAAAAGTTCAATGACTAAATGTGAACAAACTTCCTCTTGTATTATGTTTTAGCAATTTATTTATTTTTGTTAAATTGTAGCAACATTTGTTGATGAAGAAATCTATGAAAAAAAAAAAAAAACCTGAAAATATATTTAAAAAAAAAACAAAAAACCAAAACCGAAATACAAAACCAATGGTTTGACATTTTCCAAAATAAAAAATCAAAATTTCCAA